GCAGGTTATACTCTCGACAGTGAGCTTTTAAAATTGCACATATAAAGGCAATACAGGGTGAAGCATTAGGCAAAGGCAGCACCACAGTTTTCCAACGGCAGCTTTCGACCTCAACGTCTTCTCACACTGAAGAAGTCAGCTGTAATGGGAATCTCCTTACCTGCCACATCTGGCAGTCTAAGGGGGTTCTCCAGGCTCTTTAGGCAACAGAGAGAGACAGGATCTACCAAGGACAATTTAGATCACCCAGGTCAGAAAACTGTTTGTGCCCCTCTGACTAGAGATACAGCTCAGCTTTGACTGCACATCTAAAAATGAGGGGGGGTGAATACTGATGTATCACACACATCCTCTGATCCTGAGAAAGTCAGCAAGAGACAGCTATTTAAAATTATTTTTGGTAACCCAATCCTCCTTAACAGAGTGGGACTGAGTTCCTCATTTTGTAAAATGGAAACAAGAGCACTTCCCCTCACTGAGGAGATGCTAAGATCACAAGGAATTCAGAATGTGCAGTGATGACGGTACTATTGACACCTCAGCTAGTTGTATAAATGAGATGCTTTAAGTGACAGCATAGGAAAGTCTTATTTTCTATGAATCTGGATGACAAGAACTGACCAGAGATGCCTGGCTTAGAAGGACAGATTTAGTGTCTTTAGTTTGTCTCTAGTGTCTAATTTGATCTTGTGATTTCCAAGGACTCCTTTGCTGTTCTGCCCCCTCTTTGCACAAACATGGTTACATTCAGCTAGTCCCCAAACTTTCAACAGCTCTGCATTAATTATGCCTCCCTATTTGAGCAAGGGAAAATCACATTTGTTTTTACAGAGAAGAAAGTTGAAGTACCACAGTTGTGACTTGCCTGCAGCTAAGCCAACTCAGGGGCAGTTGATTTCCAGCCTCCTGCCCCTACTCCTGGACCTTTGTGTAAGTGTATTTTTTTTTTTTTTTCCTCTCTTCCTGTCTCAACTTCTCAGTTCTCAGTGTTTTACTACAGTGAGAGTTTGCAAGCTAACAGAGATGATGACTAATTGTTCTCAGCCTAAGGACAAAGATCTCTACTTGCTGTTACAGATCCTGTTTCAAGGGGGTTTTGTTACTCCTCCCCCCCTTCCTTAAATATGTTTTCATCAGCAGGATCCAAGCTTGATTCATCCAAGCCATGGATTTCTTTGCCTATATTTTGAAGTCTCAAATAATAGAAGGAGAAAATTCAGCAGTCCCAGAAAAGGGAAAGAATTTGTGTTTAAAGAAAAAAAGTCTATGACTGTAACCACTATGGCCTGGTATGTTTTGGGGGGATTATCAGTTTGACTCCAGATATGGCAGGCAAGAGGGGTTCCTGGCTATGCTAACTGCTGTACTGCTGCTGCAGATGCAGAAACCCAATGGCAGATCATGTAGCATGCCACAAAATGCTGGAAGGACATATGCAAATATTTTTTTCTTCAGCCTGAATGCAAAAATGTGCCCCCCCCCCCCCGAATGCAAAAACATGCACCCCATTTCTGCCACCTGTACTTGAACAGTTAATTTAACCATGCAAAAAATGACACTGAGTATCATTCCACTAGTGCCAGGATCTAATTAAAAAGAAGAAAAATGAAAACTACTCTCCAAGACTCAAAAAAGTGAAACAACTTGCAGCTTTAAAGGTGACAAAACTCCACAGAGAGGCAGAGGGAGAGCTCTCATGTCACCAGTGCTGTGTATGTAGCTGTGATATTACACATCTTCTGAACCTGCTGTCATCATGAAAAACGCCTGACAGACAACAGCCCAGATCTGGGCAGGAAGACAACTTTGTTAGCTTCAGGAAGGAGCACTGTGCAGGCAAAAAAGGTCATGTTGCACGATCAGGGCCCGTATTTGTAACTAATATGGGCTAATCTCGGGACTTAGTACTGAATCCTTCCTATGGTTTTTTTGTTTGTTTGTTTTTGTAATAAACCCAGAAATGAGGAGCATCTAGTGATTGCTGTATTAATTTATCGCCTGGTCTAATTCCATAGGGTTAGTAGACTCTTTCCTTTTTAATGGGATTTTTTTAAATGTCAAAATTCCATCCTATTCAACAGTTTTTACATCCTTGCACAGCAGAACTATTCTTTTCAAAAATCTGATCTTTTAATACACATGAAGTAGTTTTTGTTTTATCAAAAACTCAACAGACAAGCAATGAAAGATGTCTGGCCCAGCTGGAACAACGTACCAAGAACAGCAGCCAACAACATGAGACTGTTTTGCTCTGAGCCTCAATTACAACTTTCACTGCATCTCTCTTCTGCCAGAAGCAGCCAGCCCCCTTGTTCTGCCTCTCCCACAGAACTGGAATAAAGCAGCACAAAACGGGAGGTGTTGTGTCTTCAAAACATGAGTTAACAACACACTTTATTTAGCCTACTCCCGATATTCAACCTACAGCTCCTGGCAACCCAGCATACAAAGGTATTCTACCACAGTCCCTCTGCATTCCACAACATACAAACAAGAGAAATCCCTCACAATTGCAACGCTGATCCCAAGAGAATCTCACAAATCAGTTTGGGTAGATCATATTTCCTTAACAGATCTAGTAGATTTCAAAAGGTTTCATTCGGAAAGATCCCCTGGAGTCCTAATAACACTGTCTGGATCCAGCAGTAGTCTAATTATCCCTCCCCAGAGAGGATGAGGACATCTTTATTTGTAAATAATACCCTGCAGAATTCTCTGCAGAGAACTAGAAGGTGAGGAGGTGAAGGTGTGTGTGATGGGGAAAGCCTGAGCTGACTGACATCAGTCACACCTTCCACTTGTTCGTAAGCCTTGGTCCAGCATGAGAGCTGCCCATTGCTACAAGGAGAGAGAAATACTGATTTGTTATGGCTCCAGTGCTCTGATCTGTGGACAAACGGAATGGTTGTGCATGGAAACAGGCCCTTTGTCAAGGCGGAAACAATTACAGATCCAGTACGAACTGGGAAATGTAACTCACATCTGTACATCTGTAATGTACAAAGCAACATGCCAAGTCTGCACCGTACCTTAGGTGGTGGGTCCTGGGAGCAGCCTGCAACCCAGCACTCTCTGGATAGCTGCCTGCACACAGGCGCGGTGTTCCAAACTCATACTCCAAACCCATTCAGAGTTAGGGTTCCACAAGTTCCCCTCCCCATCATGGTGCCAGTGCAAAGAGCAAGGACATCCTTAGCAGGGCCTGGCTCCCATCCTGGCTCTGCCACAGAGCTGCTGTGGGACTTGGGGAGTTGTACCCATTCCCTGGGCCTCAGGTCTCCCCAACACTCTCCCTGCCAGGATGTTTCACTTGTGAACTGTCTGGCACAATACGTTCCTGATCTCAGCAGCTGCTCTAGGGACTGTAAATAATGATAAACACCATATCACTTTCTGGACACCTGTCTTACCATCACAACACATCATGACACCAGCACAATATGCCAAAACACATTATTTAGGATGATAAGGCTGAGATATATCAGATGATGGGGAAAAAGTGAGTATTGCTACAAACAGCCTGCAGCATACAGGGTGGAGCCAGATCAGAATGACAGGTTATTCATTCCAGCCGAGTGTTGGCACCACACTGGCAGAGCCTGTGCAGGTTCCTCTGCACAGGGTTGCCCGGTGCTCTGGAAAGATGGACTAGCTTTGGTGACATACCATAGTAATGCATACAGTCTCACGTCAAGTCTGGCCTAGTGTCCTGCTGC